TTTTAAACATAATTCATCCCTTAAAGTAATATCCATTTACATCTCAATACTCTTTACGCTAGTGCAGAATTAATTCGATTACATTGAGCATTCCTTGGTCCCAAAGGGAACCTTTTTATGTTCTGCTACCATTAATACGTGTTCAAAATTTGCCATTATTAATATCAGTATTGTAAAAAGTTATCCCATATAAACCTTTCTCTTTACTTGTGTCTTCAGAACTCTACATATGAAAATTCCTTAATTTTATCTAAAATAATCCACCAAGGACCTGCTAAATCTTGACTAACAATAATACACTGTATCTTACTCGCCCTCTGGACCTCACCACAATGCTCCTCCAAAATCTAAAGTGAAATCTATTAATAACCATCCCTCCCCTATGGAGAGGAGAAAAAAAAAAAGACAACACTCTTCTTTTTCTCCATTGTCTCTTAATTAAATCTTTATTTTCTTAAAGATATAGACATTTTAGTCCAGGATTCTAGTTCTTTAGGTAAAATAAATGGTCGCCATCTTTCTTCCCACCACACGAGTATTCTAGATGGTTGTGCCCATTTATATTTCATATTGTATTGCTTCAACGGTTCTAAAGCTTGATGGAAGGTTTTTCTCCATAATCTTGTTTGGCTTGAGAGATCTTGAAATGTGGTGATATCTTTAAATTTCTCGGATAGATTTCCTTTATTCCTCAGCAAGTTTAAAACTTGTTGTTTGTGTGAATAGGAAAAAAAACAGGCAATAACATCTCTTGGGAAGTGAGAAGGAACCTCATCTGGTTTTCTTAATCTATGTGTCCTTTCTATTATAGGATAGTGGTCGTCAATCTGTAAGCCAGCTTCTTGAAAGTATGAAAGTAAGACATCTTTTAGTTGATCTTGGGTGATAGATTCAGGTATGTTTCTAAACCGCACATTACACCTCCTCAAGCGGTCCTCCAGGTCTCTAAGCTTTAGATTATTTGCTGAATATTGCATTCTGTTTGAGTATTCTCTGTTTGAAGAGTGGTTATTTGATCTTTTATTATAGTAATTTGTTCTAGTGCAGAACTCGGTTTTGCGCTTATTTTCTCCATCTCTATTTTAATTATATTGGAGCTGTTAGAAATCTGATTAAATATAAGAGCCACTTGCTCATCCAGCTTAGTCACCAAAAAATCTTGGGAAACATATTTCATCTGTTCTACATTGTGGTCATTTATTGTTTGAGTATTCTGGTCTTGGTAAACTATATCATTGTCCTTAAGACCTTGTTTTTCTTTATTGGGGGGGGGGGGGAACGATAATCTAGTTGGCTGAGAGTCATCTTTTTTTTCTCTCATTTTAATTTGTTACTTAGACGCCATTTTGGGGCTCCTTATTTTTTATTTTTTTATTTTTTTTATCTTAGCCTCTGCTGAGCCTCTTATCAAGGAAGAGCAACCAAAAGATATTCTTTCTTTTATAAGGCTGCCAATAGTTTTAAATACACCCCCACCGCTTTTACTTGTGCAGGGTTTTGGTCTTAATATACACCAACTGTATGTAAAATGCCTTGAAAGCTAACCCAGGTGGCAACTCCTTGAGACAGCAACTTAATCAGACCTCATACTATAATCAATTGTCAGCTTTCTTGCAAACACTTATCTTTTAAATCACAATTTGGTCTCCACTTTCCGCTCTTGGTTCCTTTCTCTCTCTTCTTCGTCTTACTAGCTCTTTTCTTCACAGCTCCAGATTATTCATTCATTAATGCTCAGTTCCCTGGAGTCTATACCGCCGAAGTAATCTCACTTCGAGTCTGCACCATCGGACCGCGTCTCCCCACACCGTGCGCACATCCGCCCCTCATAGATCCGCCTCTCGACGTCATCTACGTCATCACGCTCCCGTTTCCAGCAGCAGCCACAGCTCCCTAATTTTAAAAGTTTCAAGAGTCTGTGTAGTCCTAAAATCCTTATAGGTCTTGTAAGAATGTCCACATGCACTTTCCGTAGTAAAAATTGTGGGAATGAACACAATGCTGTTTTTTACACTTGTGAGACTTGATATACTTTGATATCACTTCCATTTTGTAAGTGTTCTATTTTACTCTCTCGTACATGTTTGAGGCTTTTCAGTCATCTTTAACCACTTGATATGCCTGCAGTCAATATATGCTTGTGAGTGCTTGTGAGTGCCATCGAAATCAACATAACAGTAATAGAGCAAATCTGTCAAATATATTAGATATTTTGGAGGAGTTCAAGATAGCCAGCAACCTGTATTGGATAGACAATATAGCTAAAGCTATACCTCCTAAACCTCCCCACTATGTGAAGATCACACTGCTTCAAGGCAGTCCCTCGATCTAGCCTCAAAATATTCTCACTATTAGCATTGCATTGGCCTCAAAAGTAAAGGGTTCCTGCTAACAATACAGGGAGTGCAGAATTATTAGGCAAATGAGTATTTTGACCACATCATCCTCTTTATGCATGTTGTCTTACTCCAAGCTGTATAGGCTCGAAAGCCTACTACCAATTAAGCATATTAGGTGATGTGCATCTCTGTAATGAGAAGGGGTGTGGTCTAATGACATCAACACCCTATATCAGGTGTGCATAATATTAGGCAACTTCCTTTCCTTTGGCAAAATGGGTCAAAAGAAGGACTTGACAGGCTCAGAAAAGTAAAAAATAGTGAGATATCTTGCAGAGGGATGCAGCACTCTTAAAATTGCAAAGCTTCTGAAGCGTGATCATCGAACAATCAAGCGTTTCATTCAAAATAGTCAACAGGGTCACAAGAAGCGTGTGGAAAAACCAAGGAGCAAAATAACTGCCCATGAACTGAGAAAAGTCAAGCGTGCAGCTGCCACGATGCCACTTGCCACCAGTTTGGCCATATTTCAGAGCTGCAACATCACTGAGTGCCCAAAAGCACAAGGTGTGCAATACTCAGAGACATGGCCAAGGTAAGAAAGGCTGAAAGACGACCACCACTGAACAAGACACACAAGCTGAAATGTCAAGACTGGGCCAAGAAATATCTCAAGACTGATTTTTCTAAGGTTTTATGGTCTGATGAAATGAGAGTGAGTCTTGATGGGCCAGATGGATGGGCCCGTGGCTGGATTGGTAAAGGGCAGAGAGCTCCAGTCCGACTCAGACGCCAGCAAGGTGGAGGTGGAGTACTGGTTTGGGCTGGTATCATCAAAGATGAGCTTGTGGGGCCTTTTCGGGTTGAGGATGGAGTCAAGCTCAACTCCCAGTCCTACTGCCAGTTCCTGGAAGACACCTTCTTCAAGCAGTGGTACAGGAAGAAGTCTGCATCCTTCAAGAAAAACATGATTTTCATGCAGGACAATGCTCCATCACACGCGTCCAAGTACTCCACAGCGTGGCTGGCAAGAAAGGGTATAAAAGAAGAAAATCTAATGACATGGCCTCCTTGTTCACCTGATCTGAACCCCATTGAGAACCTGTGGTCCATCATCAAATGTGAGATTTACAAGGAGGGAAAACAGTACACCTCTCTGAACAGTGTCTGGGAGGCTGTGGTTGCTGCTGCACGCAATGTTGATGGTGAACAGATCAAAACACTGACAGAATCCATGGATGGCAGGCTTTTGAGTGTCCTTGCAAAGAAAGGTGGCTATATTGGTCACTGATTTGTTTTTGTTTTGTTTTTGAATGTCAGAAATGTATATTTGTGAATGTTGAGATGTTATATTGGTTTCACTGGTAATAATAAATAATTGAAATGGGTATATATTTGTTTTTTGTTAAGTTGCCTAATAATTATGCACAGTAATAGTCACCTGCACACACAGATATCCCCCTAACATAGCTATAACTAAAAACAAACTAAAAACTACTTCCAAAAATATTCAGCTTTGATATTAATGAGTTTTTTGGGTTCATTGAGAACATGGTTGTTGTTCAATAATAAAATTAATCCTCAAAAATACAACTTCCCTAATAATTCTGCACTCCCTGTATTAAAATTCAGCATCAGCTGGACGCCATTCTATTGTTTGGACATCTGTTCATCCCACATTGCAAATGTAAAACTAATGATTAATTTGTTTTAGTGCCGAGATTTCTCTGCTTCAGCTGCCCGCTCTCCCTCTGTCTTACTCAGCATAGAATTCTGCCGTTTTCCTCGATCTCGTCCATTTTTTGTCCTTTTCATAGAGATGCACTTAACTTTGTGGAGCATTTGATTGCAAGACTGATACATTGACTGACTGTAAGCTGGCAAAAAACAAAAAAAACAAAAGGGACATGGTTGGAAACCAGTCAGTAATTACTAGCCTCTGTGAGCTACAGAGTGTTTTAATAACAATAGTTTACAACCGCTATTTATCATCAAGATTGGAAATGAGCCCTCAGTGAATAACCCCTCCAAAATGCAAGTTCAGATTTAAACTAGATTGTTAAAATGTTACATATAATATTATGACTTTGTTACGTTCACCCCAGCATTAACCTAACATTATAATTTTCACTAATAAGAATGTATCTATATTTCACCAATGGAAATCATAATTACATTGTCTTAACTGTAGCATGAATTAAATATAATGAGTCATGATGTAATTAGTAGTCTGTAAAAAACAATATTATATTCCTCCTTTTGGAAAACAGTGTTATCTATCTATATTAAAAGTAAAATTTTAACTGTGTCCCAGTATGTTTTGAAATTTTCAACTTCAAGTCAAGCAATGTATTATTAGTTTTTTAACATAATGGAAATATTCCCTAAAGACAAAATAAAAATAGATTTTTTTACACAAAAAGTGTGAGTTTACTTATCCATGACACCCAATTAAACAAGGGGAGGCTGGTCCATTATATCTTCCACTGTGAGGAAAAGGACAATATTAACTAGGTAAGACCCAGTGACTAATCGCTCCTTTTTTATTTTCATTTTGTATTGTGAGATGGGCAGGTAATAGGTAGAGATGTCGCGAACTTCTCGCGAACGGTTCGCCACGAACCGTTCGTGGCGAACTCCGGTCAGCTGACACATCCCTGACAATCTCCGGCAGACCCTCCCTCCCAGACCCTTCCACCTCCTGGACAGCATCCATGTTGAAGCTGCCTTCAACATGGATGCTGTCCAGGAGGTGGGAGGGTCTGGGAGGGAGGGTCTGCTGGAGATTGGCCCGGGATGTGTCAGCTGACTGGAGTTCGTGGCGAACCGTTCACGAGAAGTTCGCGGACGGTTCGCGACATCTCTAGTAATGGGCCGGTAGTATATTTGTATATTATGAGAAAGGACATGGTCCTGCTGCATGGTCCCAACATACAGTAAAATACAGGATCTAGGAGTTCTAATATAGTGAAAGTATGCACCCACGTGCCCTGAAGATAGGTCCTCTACTAAAATGACTCCAAACCACTGGATTCTAAATACAGGACAGAGAAGCCAGGAACTAGAGGTATATTATCAAGGGCCATTTCCACTTTCTGCTACCTTATGGTTAATCCTGCTCTGGCTATAGCTTTGTCAACTGACATGGATATTTTTGCATAGCCAGAATTTGCAGAGCATTAAGCCTTGTATAAATCATTGGATATATATTGTTTGCCAAATGTTTTACAGGTGCATTTTGGACTTTTGTCCATGTAGAGGTCTTTAAATGGGTGTGATATAAAAGATAACTGTTAATTGTTTCAAATTCTAGAAATATAGTTAAAACTGTCACCAATTCTTTTAAAAAAAAGGAACATAATTCATCCCAACCATGTACTGCAAGGGTTAAACCTCATGATTTCTGGAAAGCATCCTACAAACCAGTGGAAAAATACATTGCTCCGATTTATCCTCAAAAAGCTCTTTCTGTCACATCCAAACAGCTTGATACAATCACATCTTCTTCCTGCCAGGACTTGTCACTTTATCTCTCTTGTTAATGTCAGTCCTTGCACTGATAGGTAACACAGAGAGGTCATTAAACCCAAATCGGTCTTATTGGTCTGTGTTCTTAAACCTAAACAAAACATCCTTTGAAACTGGTTCCATGAACATTGTACCAATTTCCACATTTGTTAAACCTGTTCGTATAAAGATTGGAATGATTTTAAAAATATCAAATAGATACAAACAGCTACTCTTTCAGAAGACAAACTGTACACTTGTAACAGATGTTCTGAAGGCTTACATAAATGTATTCATTTTCGTAATACACACAAAGGAGGTATTATTCCGGGAGCGAAGGAACAAAAATACATATTAATCTTTCAGTGTTATTCAAACTCGATTTTGCCAATACAAATGATTTATATGTAAAGTGATAGGAGATTTATTACTCGAGTACAAAATTACCAAAGCAGGTGGATTTAACAGTGATCATTCCAATCAATCTTTGAAATACGTCAGTCTCACCACCACAGATTCATCATTGTGAATTGTCAATAAGTTTAAGTGAGCTTCATGCTTTAGTCCAGGGCTGCCCAAAATGTAGATCCCCAGATGTTGTAGAACTTCAACTCCTCTAATGCTCCGCATGCCTTTAGAATGCCTTTAAAATGACAAAGCATCATGGAAGCTGTAGTTTTAAAACATCTGGGGATCTACTTTTTGGTCACCCCTGTTTTAGTCTAAAATAATCAAATTGAAAACATAGCTAACTATGAATAATGTTCCATTTAGTCTATTTTCAATTAATTTAAAACACCTAACAACTCAAACTTTAATGAATAGCCCTGTTATAATAAAACAAAATACTGAAATAATTTAATTAAAATAAATACAGCTGCGCTGTACAATTAGGGGAGAACATACACAGACAAATACAAAAGGTAGAAAGGGCTTTGCCCGTAAGGATATAACATTTGATGATGATCAACTCGGGCTCTGTATTGAACTATATTGGCAGATTAAGTAATGTAATGAGTGACTCTTACAAGTTTTCTAGTGCTCTTGTGTTGTACATTGGGTAATCAAGGCAAAGCATATAAATGACCGATGACCTACTAATTCATAAAGATTTAAACAAAAGGTGACAAAGAGCTTGCTCACACAAGAGAAAAGCTAGAAAACTTCAATCGAGCTTGAGAAATACTTTAACAAATATATTTAGAAGGCATCAACATATTCTGTCACACTAAAACAACTATTCCCTGGTGACAACTAGTTCAGGACACCCATATCTGTCTGAGTAGGCTTATTTCAGTATTACTGGTAGAAAAACATTCATTAAAATATTTGACTAATTATACCTCCGACTGAGAGAGTGGCGAGTGTAATTAAAACAACATACAAAAGATTACAATCTTGGCTGTTCAGCACACTTGATGGGATGTAAAAACCCTGCTTAAAGTCACCATTAAGTGATAAAAATCAGAAAATGGTATAATTACATTAAATAACAATTCATGGTAGATTATCGGTATCTAATATGTTGCTGTGACACTTTGTTCTAGGTTTATCATATATTCCCCTTTTACATGAACATTTTGCAATTTTGGAAGAAGGAGAATGGTAGAATGTGCATAAAAATATTAAACAGAAACAGAGACTTGATGTTTTACACTGATGGCAAAAAGCAAGAGTGATTACTAATTCTTAATTAGTAGCGATTACTACATTAATGTTCTAAATAAGTTACAAAAACAGGCATCAGTGAGAAATGCTGGCATACAATTGATGTGGAATTATTATTTACAAAGTAAGTGCTAACGCAGTTCTTGACGTTCTACAAGGATTTTTAACACTTTATTTACCAGGTAGGAGGGGCGGGAGGGAGGGGGGAGGCAGATAGATCGGTAGTGCCCGGAATAAGCTTTGTTCCTGGCACTACAGTATACCTTTAACCCTTTAAAGACACATGACATGTGTGACATGTCATGATTCCCTTTTATTCCAGAAGTTTGGTCCTTACGGGGTTAAAGGGACGCTGTTGTGTTAGGAATACATATCTGCATAGTGTAATGTCCCTTGTTCGTTTCAAGCCCCCTCTCCCTGCCTGCACTTAGAAAAAAAAATGCCAAAACATAATTTACTTACCTTCTCTCCAGTCCCGAGTGGCTTTCAGCTCTGCTGTGGCCTCCATCTCATGTGATGTTCTTATAGAGCAGTATTGGGGACCGTAGGTGCAAGTATGCAATTATTCTCTAGGACTGAGTGATGGCACTACGCATGTCATATCATTAAAGCCAGGGTATGAGAGCCAGGAAGTAATAGTCCCAGCTCTCCTACCCATAAAACTGTGAGGCTAGGCTTAAATCCATGCTTCAAAGTCTTCGAATTATTAAAATAAAGTAATTCGGAGGGGACTAAGGAAAGGGGGAATTACTTTAGGCACTATAGCAACTTAATTTAGATTAGGTCATTACACTGAGTACATAGTTACTTTAAATTGTGCTGGTTCCTATTTTATTTTTATGCAACTTCTCAATAACTAGCAAAGCTATACATAAGATGAAGAATGCACAGACAAGTAAGTCTTGTTTATGTATTTAGAAAGAGTTGATGAAATGTATAGGGCAATACCCAAAATGTGTAATGTCAGCTTGACTATTACTACTTGATTGTAAACCATAGCACAATAAAACATATACCAAATACAAATATATTGCATTACAATACAAATTATTCCTACATGCATCAGAACAATACATTGGAAATATTAAGGAAAATATTCATATTGGAAGTTCCCACATTTGGGGTAAACTCCACTATGGGAAATCCCTATTATAATCTAGCTGAAATTGTCCCTAAGTGGTATTTAAGTGGTTGTAGAATATTCAGAAGTAAAGGTTGAAAATACCTTAGCTGTGGGGGTATTGCAATCAAGAATGAGCATGTTGTTCGTCAATCAATTCCAGACCCACCCACTACATTTTCCAGTAACATGGCAATCAGCTTACATCATTCAGGCTTACATATATTTTATCCATTATCTTTTAGTCTGTCAAACTCAACTTTCTTGGTGGTCCATACCATATCTACCATTTCTTAATTCTATAGCCAGCAAAGCTAATAAGTGAAATGTACAAAGCTACAATTGTGTCCTGACAGATTGCAAAATTAATGAATAATTTTTTGGTTTGTTTAATGTAAATTTGTAGTAAATTAGGAAATAAATCTCAAATGTTACTACCCTGGTTCAGAATAATTTAGTGTCAGCTACAGTGTAAAAATGCCACAAAAAATGTCAGCATTCCATGCAAAGTTTAAGAAGTTGGACTGTTATTAAAATTGAAAGTGCTGGTGAATGTGGCAGTTTGGGCATGTGTCTGTGGATTTCTGTTAGTCTGCTCTTTAGCTGCCTACAAATGTAACAAATAGACTTGTGTATGGCTGGTAAATGTGGCTTGTCTTAAAAGTTTTGTCAGGTAATTGTACAGCCGCACCAGAATTACATCCATGTTTTAGTTTGGTTCGTCTGAATTTTGTTTGCATATTTTTGTAATAAAATAAAATTTGAACAACCGCTTTCATTTCTAAACTCTCACTCAATTCCTTCTGCCATTCCTACAAAGCTAAATTAAAAAATAATAGCAAGGGTAGGTGTTAGATAATATCTAATAGTAATCCAGAAGTGTAAGATAAAAAAACAGAAAAATTAATAATATAAGATAATTACACTAAATGGTTAAAATGTTCAGAAGTAATTGATAAATTAAATAGGATGTATTGCAATTAGTGTTCAGAGGTGTATCCCTTTAAAAATAATAATACAAAACAATATGTCTCATAAAAAGTTAAAAGTGCATAAGCATTAAGTTGATAGTGCAAAAATTAGCTATATATACACTGCAATTGTATCTCACTTGAGTTTAATGTGTAAAGTCTCTATTAGATACAGTGATGAATTGAAACAGTCTTTAAATGGTCTTTCAAATTGTTAGCTGTTTCAGTAGTCTCCAGTTATAGATCAGCTGGGATGTGTATACTGAAAAAGCTTAATTACAATAGTACAGTATTGATACGGTCTCCTTTAAATGTTGATAGTAGAAATATATGTACCCTTCATAGATAAAAAACAAATATTATAAGATCACGGGAAGTGACCTTAAGTTATAGGTTTAGTTCTCCGTTCTGCAAGAAACAGAGCGATAATCCATAGTGCATACTGTTTAAACAATTTTTTATTTGAATAATACAATAAAAATGCACTCACAATTTGTAAAGTATATCGAGCGTTACTGGATGC